ATGGTGTAAGGTAAGGGTCTACTTTCATTTTTTTGCATGTGGCTATCCAGTTTTTCCAACACCATTTGTTGAAGAGACTTTCTTTTCTCCATTGTATTTTCTTGGCTCCTTTGTCAAAGACTAGCTGTCCATAGATGTGTGGGTTTATTTCTGGGCTTTCGATTCTATTCCATTGATCTGTGTGTCTGTTTTTGCGTGGCAGCATTATTCACAATAGCCAAAATATGGAAACAACCTAAGTGTCTGTCAACAGATGAATGGATAAAGAAGATGTGGTACATATATATACAATGGGATATTATTCAGCCATGAGAAAGAAGGAAATCCTGCCATCTGTACAACATGGATGAACCTTGAGGGAATTATGATAAGTAAAATAAGTCAGACAAAGAAAGATAAATATTGTGTAATATCACTTATATGTGGAATCTAAAAAAAGCCAAAACTCACAGACAGAGAGAGTAGAGTGGTGGTTACCAGGGGAGAGGGAATGGGGGAAATAGGGAGATGGTAAAAGGGTACAAACTTCCAGCTATAACATGAACAACTTCATGCTGCACATCATGTACAGCATGGTGATTATAGCTAATATTATTGTATTATATACTTGAAAGTTGCTACGTGAGTAGATCTTAAATGTTCTCACCACAAAAAAGAAATGGTAGGGGCCAGCCTGGTGGCGAAGTGGTTAAGTTTGCGTGCTCCGCTTTGGTGGCCCAGCGTTCGCCAGCTCGGATCCCAGGCGCCCACCAATGCACCGCTTGTCAAGCCATGCTGTGGCGGGGTCACAAATAAAGAAGGGGAAGATGGGCACGGAGGCGAGCCCAGGGCCAATCTTCCTCAGCGAAAAAGAGGAGGATTGGCAACAGATGTTCGCTCAGGGCTAATCTTCCTCACATTAAAAAAAAAAAGAAAGAAACGGTAATTAAGTGGTGTGATGGAAATTTTCGCTAACACTATGGTGGTAATCATTTTGCAACATACAAGTGTATCAAATCAACACATTGTACACCTTAAACTTACACAATATTCTATGTCAATTATATCTCAATAAAGCTGGAAAAAAACAAGAAAAAGAAATCCTTGCACAAAAGAGAAGCATTGTAGATATTTATGCCATATATACATACCTGTCTGTATTCATGTTAGACTGAGAGTCGACAGAGTTATCCAACTCATTCTCGCTTTCTTCTGACTGGCTGTTAACAGTTCCTTCTTCTTCATCATTATCCACTTCATTAAGAGCCTTTCTCAAAACAGCAATAAAAATAACAACACAAGTGTATATATACACTCATCCCTGCTTTCTTTTTTTCATAACAGAAGAGAGTTCTCTCCTGCTAAGGATCCACATGTGCCCTAAAACCCACACCCTCTTATCTCCTCCTCCATCAATTGCCCCTTCTCACTTCACCATCTTCAACCTCTCTCTCTGAACTGGCCACAGCTCATCCGCATTCAAACGTGAACAAGTCTCTCCCATCTTATCCTGACCCTATATCCGCCTCAAGCTACTATCCATCTTCTCTCTTTTGCCACCAAACTTCTTGAAAGAGCTGTCCCCCACTTCTCATTCACCACCTATGCCCTGCAACTTTGCTTCTGCCCTACCATTCCACTTAAACTGCTCTCTACAAGACCAACATCAACATACTTGTTCCTAAGTCAAATGGATACTTCTCAGTCTTTGTCTCCCTTTACTTCTCTGACTCATTAATGACCCCTCATTTCTTTGCTTCAAAATCTTCCTGATACACTTTTCCTTTTCACTTCCAATGATACTATATTTTCTTGGTTTTTCTTCTATTCTTCCGGCCATTCCTTCCCAATCTCCTTTGTTGGTTCTTCTTTTTCCACTCTTCCTTTATATCTGATATGACTGATGGTCCTCCCTTTGGACCTTTTCTCCTCTGCCCTTTTCTCCATCTGACTCACTTTCTGAATGATTGTATCTAATTCCAAAATCTGCAATTATGAGTTAAATGCTGTTAACTTCCAAAGCTCTGTCTTCACCCAGATCTCTCTTGAGCCCTAAACATTTATATCCAACTGCCTAAAAGATATCCCTAGTAGAACATTCTACACACATATACTCAACATGTCCAAAACTTATCATTTTCCTAAGCCTCTCCTATCTTTCTTCCAGAAACCTTGTTCTTGCCATATTACCTAAGACCACGAATAGCATCACCATCTACTCAGATGCTCAAGCCAGCAAACTGGGAATTATCTTTCTTTCTCATCCATCATATCCAATCAGCCACCCAATCTTGTCGATTCTACCCCTGTTTAATCTCTCAATCTGTCCCTCTTCCCCTTTACCCCCTTCCCTACTGCCACTGGTTTGGGTCAGGTCCTCACCACTTCTCACTAAGATTCCAACCTAAGTCTTCTAATTCAATCTTCTCACCAGTCTTGTCCCTCCCCAATCCATTTTCCACATTACGGTCGATTTCATCAGGACTCTGCTCTTAAAATTCCTTAGCGGCTCTACTCTCATCTTCTGGTTCCTTAGCCCTTTGCAACCTAGCTCCTCCCTGTATCTCTAACCTCAGCTCTTGCCACTTCCCACATCCCCATGAGAGAGACCATGATTATCTGAAAGCTAACATTTTAATAAGTGCTAAAACATAAATGGTTTTTGGCTAGGGATGTGGCTAATAGGTTTTGGCTACTTAAAATATGTGTAACATTCTACTTAATTGCCTTTGTAAGTAGAAAAGAGTATACTTATCATGTCTTTTATGATCCTGGACCATCTAACTCCCTAGGATCATCCCTCTAATTGATGATCTCCTTCCTTCATAGAAGATAAAAATAACTTAAGAAATTCCATTAAAGAAGTACTGAGTCCTAGTCATTCATAAAAAGTTGTTTTATTTTAGTATTAAATTCTTCATGGGCTCTTATAAAATGTTTCCTATCTCAAAACTCTAAATATATTGATTAATTAAGAGTTCCAATTAGGTTAGGATACAGTTAATGTTTTACTACTATAATATAATTTTCCTGTGTAACTGTTAATAAATTCCAAGTTTCCTGGGTAGCTACTTTTTAACCATACTAATACATTAGAAGGGACTAACACTTAACGAAGAACTATTATCTGGTATTATGAGAGGCACTTTGCATAACCTATCTTGGCTGATCCTCACAACAACTGTAGCAGGAATATTCTATTCCCATGTAACAAAAAACAAAAACACTCTGAGCCAACTCAGACACCTTAAGAAATCAACTCAAGAACAAATAGCTAGTAAGTAGCAGAACATGAACGCAGATCCACCTGACTCCAAAGTGGGAAGTTGAAAGACTTCCTGTTGTTTCCATATTGGCAGATGGCAGCACAGTCTTATGCAGCCAGGCAGCGTAGATTGAATGCCTTCTCTAATGCTAACTAGCTATGTGTGTAATCTTGGATAAGTCACTTAATGTTTCTGAGCCTCAGTTTTCTTCATCTGCTGAATGGGGATAATAACAGTACCTACCTCCTAGGTAAGCACCCAATAAATGTCAGCTATCATTATCCAGTCCCATCTTGTTTAGTAAAACATGACTCACAGAAAGTGCAATATGCCTGAGTGAGAACAATTCCAGCAGCCACAACTTGGTATTTGTCGATATTTAAGCTTCTGAAATGTCTACCACAATGCCTACATCAACTTAAACTTAATTTCAGCATGAGCATCATGGCTGTGAGCAGAGCACATTACCTGAGGCTCCAGAGCAGATTCACTAAGGATGGCCTGGGTGACAGGGTCCTGATTTACCACAATGGGACCTTGAGAGGAATTGGGAGCCACTGTTACATTAGGAAACGCTGTGGAAGGAAGACAAGTCATGATGATTTTGTTTCATTTAATTAAATTGACTTCACAAGCACTATACACTACCATAGATTTGTATCATCATATGAAAATCTTAAATAATAATAATAGCAACTCACACTTATATACTGCTTACTATATGCCAGGGGCTATTCTAAATGCTTTTATATATATTAAATCATTTTATCCTCACAAAAGCCTATGCGGTTGTTCCTATTATTATTTTACAGATCAGTAAACTGAAACTCAGAGACACGAAGCAACTGGCCCAGAGGCACACCAAGTGGCCATGCCAGGATTCAAACCTTAAACTAAAAACTAATGATCTGTTTTTAGGGATTAAGATAAACCATGAATTATAAACACATTAAAGTGAGTAATGCTGTGTATCTGACAAGAGGCAAAGTTCCTTTTAGAGAGAGAGTGAAGTTGCTTTAGGTTTGGAATTACATATAAACACAGATACTTTAATTATATGGTAATTTAATAATAAACTGAAAATTAAGTCATATTTTAAATTATAAAATCTTATACATTTCACCATAAAATATTTTAGTAAATAATAACAATTTACCTTTCCTTAGCTGAGCAATTTGTAATAGTATTCTAAGCGAAAAGCAAACAAATTATAATGAATCTATGCCTAACAGCTTTTGTATGTTATCTACTCTAGAATATTTGAAATATAAATAATATGATGCCAGAAAAAAGATTTTAAATTCTTCCCAATAGCCAGTTGTGAGCTATGGTTAATAAAAAAAAAGCTTTTGTTTGAATTGACTACTTTACCTGTGCGCCTACGAGGAAAATCAACAAACAGGTCTTTTGCTGCAGCCATCAAATGATCAGATTTTTCCAATACATCCTGCATCTGGTATTGATCAGAAAGAATCTAGACACGTGTTAATGATAAATATTATTATTCAGAAAAAATATATGTACTTATCAAATCACAAAGGAAAAGCCCATACAAAGGCACAGAGCATAAAAATAACCATAGGTCACTATCTTCCTAAGATCCTTCAGTGGCAATATCTTTAAACACCAGGAGATGGGGCTGTTACAATAATCAGTGGATTTCAAATTCTTGGCTGCAATCCAAAGGAATCTATTATTAAATTGCGACCCAGTACACACACAGATGTAAACGTAAATGTAAATATATAACAAAATAAAAGTTTTACTTAACCTTATTCCTTGACAACTACTCTGATATTTTCCTTTTAGTTTCTGTTCTATTTTTTTAAACGATGGTTGCAACCCACTAACTTGATTTCACAATCCATTAACAAGTTGTGATCCACAGTTTGAAAAACATTTTTAAAGATAGGAATCTCCAAGCCATAAACTCAGAGGTGTAGAGGTGTTTCAACCACTAAAGTGATTTCATAATCCACGAATGGGTTATGACCCATAACTTAAAAAACATGATGTCAGATATGAGTTTGGGGGCATTAAACAAAAAACTGATGCTTCTGCCTTTACAAACAAGTTGGGTTTTTATCCTGGAGAGATGAGAACTCAAAATATACCACTATAGTAGTGCCTCTGATTATGCACTTTCAACTTAGGAACTTTCATAATTACAATCGAGGATGCACAGGCTAGCGTAAAGGGAGGTCAACTTGACCCACCACCACCAGATGGCATTCCGAAGTTGAAAGGAGTCCCCAAACTGGAAACTGCTCAGTTTCTGAAACTGACTCAAATCAATCAATAAAACATCTGGTAACAAATGCTCTTTACCAGAATTTCTCGAGACCGTGGAAACAAGTATAAAATATGACCTCATTTATTGTTTTAGGGCACTGAGAAAAATAACAAGAGTCACATTCTGACTTTTTCCCTTCTTCCCCTGCTATGGCCAAGCAAGTTCGCCGACTCCTTCAGTAAGAATAAAGTCCTGAATTTGTTCCTTCCACAAAGAGTAACTTTGGAATGGTAGAAGGCAAAGAGCACATTTGGAGCCAGAAGACTGGCATCCTCAGCCCAGTCAAGAGATACCAAGCAAAATCCATCCTCTTTAACCTTAGTTTCCTGATGTGTAAATGAAGATACGACCACCTCCCCAATCCCACAGGAGTGTTATAATGATGTGAATACAATCAAAACCTGTATACCACTCTATAGATATTTGAGAATGTTGTCACAACTTAAATTATATTATCCCATAATATAATTTAGATAGAACCAAATTTCTATCCCTGATTAGCCATCTTGCAAGTACATGCAATTAGAGTTTAGAAAAGAGAGTACATGGAGCATTATAATCTATCACATGCTAAAAAAATTACATAAAGAACATTTCCTAACAGCAGTTTTAAAAGTTTACTATTAAAAAAAAAAGCATTGACCTCCTATCAAAATAAAGAGATATAATTGACAGAAGCAGATTGTGGAGGAATAATTTTGTCATCTCAAGACCTGATATTAATTCTAATGAAGTCTCCAGTAAAGCTGTTGCTCTGCTAGTCTCTGCCCAGACTCTTGGGGCAGATGGTTTAAGTGGCCAAAGATTAGTGCACTGGCTTTCCTTTGCTCTTTCTAGATTTCTTTATCACCTCTCTGATAAAACTCATCCTCTTGATAGTAAACCAACCTTTGCATATTACTTCCCCAGGTGGGTTTGCAGAGCACAAAGCTAAACTCATGGGTAGTGGTACACATATTGGATTTCCAAAGGATCAGTCAAGGTCCCTTCAAAAACATTATCAGAAACTTCTCATCCTAGCACTTTTGTTCTCTGGAAAGAACAACCAGATGAGGGGGCCGGCCCCGTGGCCGAGTGGTTAAAGTTCCACGTGCTCCACTTCAGTGGCCCGGGTTTGCGGGTTCAGATCCCAGGCACGGACCTACTCCACTGATCAGCCATGCTGTGAAGAAATCCCACATACAAAACAGAGGCAGACTGGCACAGATGTTAGCTCAGGGCGAATATTCCTCACCAAAAAAAAAAAAGAAAGAAAGAAAAAAACCAGATGGAATTGGAAAATTACAAAGAGACTTGGGAAGTTTCATACTTTTGGAATTTATAAAATCTTTATCAAAACCTCCTCTCTCTGATTTGGATTTGGACCCTTATTTGCTTTTCCCATGGCATAGGTGTGTCATATGGCAAATGAAATCTAAGATGATGCAGGCCAAAAAGAGTTTTTTTCTTCATTTATGTTAATCTAGGAGCCCAGCTCTGGGGGGATGGGTCCTGGTAGCTCTAATACATAATGATAAAGCCTAGGTGGATATGCCCAAGGAGACTTCTTCCTTTGGTCCCACCACATCCCTTAACAGAGACGTTACAAATTTAGCAACATTGAAATAAGATATGCGCATATTCTTTGACTCAGCAATTCTACTTTTAAGAATTTATCCTACAAATTTACATGTACTGAAAAACATCTTCAAGGATGTTCATTACATTATTTGTAGTGATAAGGCAGGAAACAATTTGTGGGTAGCACACACCACTACTTATCCACCAATATCCTTTCTTTCCATTTTCCCTTTAATAGCAGAAGTCCCAAGTTTCAGCCAAGTACATAGCTAGAGTCCCAATCATCCTTGCAGGTGAGAATGTTCAAGAGATGAATTTCTGGACAATGGCATATAAGCCAGAACTTCTGGGTGGTACATAAAAGGAGTAGCATGCCTTCTCTTTCCCACTTCATGCTGGTTGGGATACAGCTGAAGGAGGCTGGGCAGCCATTCTGTACTCAGAGATGGAAGCCCTGTAATGAAGGACCACAGAGTTCCTACCAACTACCATTTGCCTCTGAACTGTTTCACAAGAAAGGAATAGATTTCTGTTTTGTTTAAACCACTATTATCTGGGGTCTTTTTTTTTCCCAGAAGCTTAAACATACTCTAATACATGTCCTAAATGTCCACCAATAAAGCAGTGGATAAATAAGTTGGGGTACAACTGTACAGTACATGGCCATTAAAAAAGAAATGGCAGATTTCTAAATCCTGACATGGAATAACCTCCAAGATATATTGTTAAATGGAAATACATGAATCCCACTAACAGCTGAGATTCTCAACCTTGGCAACACAATAAAATTATATAGGAACTGTCTAAAAACATATCTAAGGAGGGCCACATCCCAGGTCCACTAAATCAGAATAGCTGGGTGTAGATATATGTGGGTCCAGACACATTTATTTTTCAATGGAAGTTCTCAACCCTGACTGATTCTAATGCACAGTTAGGGTTGAGAAACACTACTCTAGAGCCTGAGGAAGCGGAATCACAGGAGGAAGGCATCCTCTTCACCACTGTTCTTTCAGCCCCTGCTCCCACCACATCTCTTACCTGTGTAAGAAATGCAGGACATGAGCAGGAGCCACTCGGGAGGGAAAACAAAAGCCTGGAGTCACCTCAAAGGGGCTGCCTTTTCTCCTGGCCAGATCTGTGTTCTCAGGCCTTTCACTGAGAATTACCACGTGACATTTAAATGTACATAACTTGGCCAAGATTACAAAGATACTTATCTAGTAAAGAACCATTTTCTCTCATTCTACTGTTCTTCTTAAAAGCTCATGTAAACATTTATTTGGGAGATATAATTCTTCCTGATGATGCATAAGATCAAGACTTTGCATTTCACTAAGAAACCCAATGAATTCCTCAAAAAAAAAAGGGGGGGTGATTTAAAGCCGCAGTGAAAGGTCACCCAGACAGCCAAGTGCCACGAGCTGCAACACTGAACAGCAAGCAACACTGCAGACAACGCATATTTCTTTTACAATGATTTCAGCCCAAATAAAAGAAGGGTTTTTTTTGCTGCAGTTTCCTCTTATTTCCCATATTGTTTATTCCTACACATCTGATTACTTATCCAAATACCCTACATCTGGCAAAAGATTAAGCCAAAGGCAAACAGCTTACTAACTAACTAACTTGTTGGACAAGCACACAAGATTTTTTTTTTTTGCAAAGTAATCTAACAGCATGGCTGTTGAACTGAGAAAAATAATTATAGCAGCTTAAGTATATATAAGGCACTAATTATGTGTCAAGGACTGGGCTAGTCACTTCATTATATCAGTGAAATCTCGTAACAATACAATCAGGTAAGTAGTGTCATTCTCATTTAAAAGATGAGAAAATTCAAGCTGAAAAGTTAATAATTAATTTAAGCTCACATAGCTAATAAGTTGTGGAGCAGGAATCCAAACCACCAAACTAGATTCTAATTGTCACATGGACAATACATGGACCACTGCTTTTTTTGTGGTCCACGTATAGATCATTGTGTAAGGACGCAGTAATTACTACAGTCTCTCCAATGTGAATCAAATTTGGGGGAAAAGAAAGAAACTATTTCTCTCTTCCTCTCTTTCTGACTACAGATTATGCAGGGTAGCATTACCTCCTTCATGAGAGATAATCTCCTTTTCTCAAGATCAGAAATTTCTGGTTTCTGTTTCTTCCATTTTCTCTTCAAGGCTTTTTCTTGGAGTTCCCAGTGTACTAATGCTCTATTCTTCGATTTGTGTATTTCATGGCGACGTACCTATACAGAAAAAAAAATACAAAAGAATGTTTCAGGAGCAAAGAACTTGCCTATTCTGATGGGGGGACCACCTAACCTAGTTCATCTTTTTTTATTTTTTCTGGTCGAACATATGTATTTTTATATATATTCACAGCCAAAATTTTCACAGTCTCCTAAATTTTCAAAAATGATTTTTTAAAAAGTATCTAAAACTAGTAGACCTAGCTAAAAGACAAAATGAAAAGAATATTAATTTCTACTTCCTTCATATAAGACTATCCAATAAACTAGCGTTTTTCAAACTACAGTATAGGACACACTTAATGGGTGGTAAAATAGTGGGTCAAAACCAACATTTTTTAAATAAACAGAATACAGAAAAAAGTAAGAGTACATGGCACATAATAAAGTTAAGAATTCTTGTGTTAAATTTTCAGTTACATATGTGTATACGTGTACAATTACATACACACACACACACACACACACAAACACACACAGACTGAGCACAATGTAAAAGGCACAAAACCCACTGAGTCACCTTTGGCGAGACACACCCATTTCATAATACTCATTTCACTACCAAGAACTAACAACGCAGTGTTTTTCTGGCCCTGTAATGGCTGCCTGTCGAAGTGGGTCACTGGAGATGCAGAACTCCAGGGAAGTGGAACTCCTGAAGCAGAAGCAGAGATAGGAGCCACAGCTTAAGACTTAGAGGGAGGAGCTCACTGAGGGGGCTCAAGAATAACAGCAGAAGTTGGCTTTACAAGAATTCTAGTATTCAGAACTATGAATATGAACAAAACCTGTATGTCATCTGATAAAATGTACTTCTGAGTTTTCACCACATAAGTAAAAAATCAGTCTATTAAAAGACTAACAACCAAATAAGGATTCCGATTCACAAAAAACAAATGAGAATGACATTTTTGAGACAATTCGGGAATTATGAATACGGACTGGAAATCAGGTGATACCAAAAACTTATTGTTACTTTCGTTAGGTGTGAGAATGGCATCGTGGTTATATAAGAAAATGTCTACATTTTTTAAAACACTAACTGAATATGTAGGCACAAAATGACATGTTCTCTGGGATTTGCTTTAAAATGCTTCAGCAAAAAAGAAAAGGGTATGATAAATGAAACAACTATGGCAAAATTTTCATAACTATCATATCTGGGTGAACAGTATATAAGAGTTCTTTATACTGTTGTCTCTACTCTCACGTTGAGTTTGAAATTATCAACGTACAAAAAGAGAAATCAGTTTAAGATGCAAAGCATTCATTTAGGATCAAAGAATTATAATTCTGGGAGCACAGATTCAGGTAGAAACCCAAATAGGGCCCCAATTACAGGAGAGGGGCTTAGGGTTTTTATGGGAAAAAGGGAGGATATGAGGTGAGTTGTATTAAAGAAGAGTTCGTTGGTGCTAGATGAGGTAAGGCTAGGTTTGTACTTCATAGATTGGCCTGAGGTTCAATCATCAGGCAAAGGGCTAGTCTTGTACTTCATTGATTGATTAGCAATCCAGTCATCAGCAAAGTCCACTTCCATCAGTTCTTACAGACAGGATATTCTTGTCCTTACTGACTTCTTGGAATGCTGGTGGTTTGGTCCAGTTTGGAAGATAAAGAAAACAACACGTGCGAGGAAATTCCTCTGAAATGGCTGCTCTGGCTCTATTTTAATACGGCTCCCCTCATGTCATTTTTCACAAAATTTTTCATAATAAAAAAAATTTTTAAGTCAGTTGGGCATCATCATTATCCTCAACAAACATTTAAGGAGTACCTACTAGGATAAAGATTCCTAGGCCCACAAAGACGTGTAAGATACGGTCTCTATCCATATCTCATGGATATAAGATATGGTCCCTCAAAAGCATTAATAATCTGCCCAGAGACTGGGCATACACATATAAAGATAAATGATATGCATTAGATGGCATATCCTCAATGCCTTATGTAGGTAGTACAACAGCTCAGAGGAGATAGCAACTGTTGGGCAGCTTCAAAGGTAGGACTTTAAACTTACACAAAGTATAATAATCAAGAGAGTGTGGTACTGGTATAAGGTCAGACACACAGATCAATGAAATAGAATTGAGAGTCCAAACTAAACCCTTATCTTTATGGACAACTGATTTTCAACAAGGGTGCCAAGTCAATTCAATGGGGAAAAAACAGTCTTTTTAACAACTGGTGCTTTAATAACTGGATATCCACTTTCAAAAGAGTTAAGTTGAACCCCTACCTCACACCATATACAAAAATTAACTCAAATTGATCAAAGACCTAAACATAAGAGCTAAAACTATAAATGTCTTAGAAGAAAACATAAAAATAAATCTTTGTGAATCTTGGGTTAGACAATGGTTTCTTAGATGTGACACTAAAACCACAGATGACAAAAGAAACAATAGATAAATTAGACTTTATCAAAGTTTAAAACTTTTGTGCTTCAAAGAATACCATCAAGAAAGTGAAAAGACAACAAATAGAATGAAAGAAATTATTTGCAAATCATATACCTGATAAGGAACTTGTAGCCAGAATATGTAAAGAACTCTTACAACTCAACAATAAAAACACAAATAATCCAATTTTATTTTTATTTTATTTTTTTACGTCCTTCCCTTCATCAAACCCAGTCCACAGCAGTCACATGTTTCCTCTCCCAATTTTAAAATGACTAAAGGATTTGAATAGACATTTCTCCAAAGCAGATACTAGAAATGGCCAATAAGCATATGAAAGGATGCTCAACATCATTAGTCATTAAGGAAATGCAAATCAAAACAATGAGATTCCACTTTACACCACCTAGGAGAACTAAAATAAAAAAGATGACAATAGCAAGTGTTGACAAAGGATGTGGAGAAATTGGAACCCTCATACATGCTGGTGAGAATGTAAATGGTGCAGCCACTTTGGAAAATAGTTTGGCAGTTCCTCAGAAAGGTAAATATAGAGATAACATATGACTCAGCAATTCTACTTCCAGGTACATACCCAAGAGAACTAAGAACATATGTTCACACAAAAATTTGTGCATGAATTTCACAGCAGCATTATCCACAACAGTCAAAAAGTGAAAACAATCCAATGTCCAACAACTGATAAATGGATAAATAAAACACGGTATATCCATACAACAGAATAGTATTTGGCAATAATAAGGAATGAAGTACTGATACATACTATAACATAGATGAACTTCGAAAACATTATGCTAAGAGAAAGAAGCTAGAAAGGACAAAAGGACACATATTGTATCCATTTATATGGACTACCCAGAATAGGCAAATCCATAGAGACATAAAGTAGATTAGTTGTTGCCAAGGATTGGGAGGACGGGGGCATAGGAAGTGACTGTTAATTGGTATTGGGTTTCTTTTTGGAGGAGATAAAAATGTTCTAAACTTAGAAAGTGATGATGGTTGTATAACTCTGTGAACAGACTAAAAACCAATGAATTATACACTTTAAAAGGGTGGATTTCATGGTATGTGAATTATATCTCAATAAAGCTGTTTCATAAAGAAAAACCTATAGTAGAAACTTTTTAAAAAAGTAAGACTTGAACTAGGATAAAGAAGCAAAGTAAGATTTGAACAGGTGGAAGAGGAGGTAGGGAAACTGCTTCAAGCAAGGAAAAGAGCATGAATTGGGGAGCAAATGTGAAAATATATATGGCATGTTCAAGGAATAAATTACCACATTGACTAGACCAGTATGTTTATACAGGGAAGTGATAGTAAATAATGCTGGAGATATCTACAGATAGGAAAAGACAATAGATGTGTACAGGGCCATACTGGACTAGAGAGATTTAAACTGTAAACCAGATCCATCTAATGAAATTCTAATATATATTAATTGGTATTCCTAGGTAAAATCAGAAAGTCCAGAAGATATGTTTTTTGATTTTTATCCAGACATAAGCAAGATTAAATATAACTGAACAACTTTCAGGAAGTGCCTCTGGCTTCTATTCTAAAGGTTAGTACCCAAATAACAAATAAAACATTAACAAATCTTATCTTCTAACATCAAACTTACCAGGTCTTCAGGAGTTGCCCGATGAACTGTTAGATCATTCACAGTGTTCTGCAAAAAAGATGAACTTTCTTTAAAAAAAGGTTTCTTACAAAATGTTAGTATGTACTGGATTTTTTAAAATAGGATTTCAATGTTCATTCACTTTCTTTGGGTTATTTTCTTATAGGAAAAATTCTCTTTAGATTAGGTTAAAAAACTATTTAAAATCAGTTTTAGTTTATTTTTGATGAATTGATTTTCCTTTTTTTCAAAAGCATTCTTTCATTAGTTTAAGCCTTCTGTACCTTTTTTCTCCCACATGTCAGATGGGTCTCGTAGTTAAACGACTATGTATCAAGCATGCTACCCTCCAAGAAACCTTTCTTTGAAGAGGTAAGGGGTTTGATCAGCACATTTTAGAAAGATAAAATTGTTATTTTAAATTGAAATAAAATTATTTATTTTATATTTTTACGTAATATATAAAATAAATGTATTTATTTAAATTAAAATAAAATGTTAGTTTTATTATTCAAACTTCTTACTATATTTTTTTCACATTCTTCAGAAAGTTATGTCATGCCTATGAAGATATTGTTGGTTTGTGTATATTTAGGCGTGAGTATGCACTAGATTTTAACGGCTGAAAACAGATTCAAAATCCTGGGACCAAAAAGACTTTCTTACCAGGAACCAGTATTCCCAATTTAAATATTAATATGGATTACTTTTAGGTGTCTTGTAGAAAATAACAGACCATATTTAGATGTCTTACAGAAAATAAGAACTAACCTCACCAAGCAGGCATACATTATATTAAAATAATGAATAAAACAGAGTAGTATATAATTCAAAATGAGAAAGTTTAAAGTTGTAGTTTTCAAACTACGTTCCATGGAATGAGGTACCTCTAAAGATTCCTAAAAGAGAAACTGTGATCACTATGGAGAGGTTCAATTTGTGCCCAAGCAAACACCTTAAGCATAGAAGCTACCATAGTGAGAGATGAAGTTTGAGGGCACTGTACAATTTCATAAAATGTAAAAATAGTCACTTAAGTAAAAAGGCACTAAACCAGTATGGCAGAGCTACCGCATTACACAACCAGGAGGTACCATTAATATCCTAGGCCACGCAAATAGTACCCCTTGGGATTGTGCAGCACACAGCCTGCACAGCTCTAAGCAGCAGCCCTGCGATTTGGCCCTTTCAAAATGACCTCAGCCATTCTGTTACAGATTTGGTACGGTAGGGAAAAACAGAGTTTTACTTCTAAGAGAAATATAGAGAATTGAGTCTTGTGAAATAGCTTCTGATGTATTTAAAGACTTAACTTTTTGGCCACAGTTTATATTTAGATGTAGGCTTTTCTATACCAAAGCTACTATTCCTTTCACATTAATTTAGAAAAGTACAAGATACAACTATAAGATCATGAGAATTGTTCTTAATAATCATAATAAAATTCAGGCATATAAACAAGTGATATGCTTGGAACTAGTTCTCATGGGAGAAGATATAATCTCAATAAAAAAAGTTGCTTAAAACTATTTTCTTTTGAAATTGCCTTTAAATCTAATTTACAGGCCATTTCAGAAAACATCTCACTATTTTTATCAAAACAGTGTTATTCTGTTTGATCTCTCCTCCCTCGTTTACCGTTCATTCCAAATGACTTATAACTACTTTCAAGCTTAGTCTATCTTCAAAAATGAAAGATTTTTCCAGCACTGGAGATAATAAAAAGCAAATGAGGAAGGTTCCACATGCAATTTCAAATGATGGGTTTCAATTATGTTTTCAGCAATAGCAGCATATCAGAATAAATATTGAACTTTCCAAAGTAACCACTCTGAAGGGGACAATTCTTATATCATCAAGTGCGTTTTTTTCCCTCTTAATCAGTTTCATTAACTTAGAATCACACCTTTATAACATTTTATAGCCAATCAGATGGCAACGAAGCAATCTAAACACAGAGAACTCCCCCTGTCCCACTTCCAAAGGCCATCAGTTTGCCCAGGATATCTGGCTGGAGTGGCTGGCCACAACCCAGAAGGTTCCAAATCCAAAGGAGTCCCTGAGATCCAAACTAGTCCCTGACTAGTCACTCTCCACAATAGAAAGTAAAGACCCCTAAGGTCTCATGGGCCAAACAAAAGCACCAGGATGCAAAAGATCAAAATCCCCTCGGTAATACCAAGTAGTATTCAGGGTGGGAGCCAGGGACCCCATGTCCCAGGGATTTGAGACTTGTCCTATATCTTAAGAGAACTTTCATACTGAGACTGATCAGCCTCTGGAGGTGAGCAACAAAAAATTCGAGGGGTAAGAGAGCAAGGATCACCCCCTTTTTCAGCCAAAAATGCCACTCATGTAATTATGGCATCGCTGGTTGCTATGCAAATCTAAAAACAGTACCAAAAAAATTTAGACTTCAGTGACACAGATTAGCTAGAGTTCCCTTCAAGCAGTGAGTTCTCAATGTGGAAGTAGGGGCCCTTTTTAAAAAACACACTCCCCACTCTCTAAGATTCCAATTCTTCAAAGGAGGTAGAGCTTACAGCCTCAACATGTTTATTCTCAAAAACTTCCCAAAGGCTTCCGCTCTTCCCTCCCAGACCTACGATATCACATGCCGAGAAACCCACTCCACCCTATACACGCTGAGCCCCACTCAGAGCACCGTGCTGAGTGACCAGGGCCACGTCATCACATCTGTTCCTCCAGAGTAACGTTACATCGTTTATTCTCCCACTGAGACTCACATCCCATTCTTGCTTCACTGGCGTTTTCTTCTTCTTTACTTTCAGGGTTTTCCTTCCTCCTCCCCGGGGACCGTAACGGTTCACTCTGACAAATGACATCTAGGAATAATCATCATATAAAATTTTTCAAAATAAAAGAAAAAGTAATAATTAAGCATCACCAGACGGGGACAAAGACATCTAGGAAAATACTTTTTAAAACGTCAGAAGAAAAACGTAAGCATAATGAAAGGAACAGCCTACCAAAATACTTGGTTCTTTCACCACACAATTAATAGAAAGTTGATACTGATAACTATGATAAAAGAGGTTTCAAGTCAATAATATATGTATATTTGCTTAATAAAGAATGGTAGGAATGCAGAAATTATGACCTAAAGCAGAGGGCTGGGACAGTAGTCATAAGCTTTGTCTTCGGTTACATGAATTCACAATTAGTAGAGAAAATGTCAGTCACATGCTAACAATGTGAATACAAGAGGAGAAGGGCAAAGAGAGCTGGGTTCTTTTTTAAGCACTCTAGCACTCAAAATCACTACCAGATACATATGTGCTTACCTTAAAATAAAGGGAACTAAATTTTAGAGAACAAATGAGTTATGATGTCATTTCTAGTATATCTTTCACATAGTACTAAATGGGGGTGATTACTGACACTAAAGTAGAATTTGGAAATTGCCAACGTTTGCTTGGCATTCAAAACAGTAATGCGAAGGATACTGAACTAAACATTATACAAAATTAGAAAAAGGTTCACAGTCCGTGCAGACTAGGATTTTACAATACACATGTACAACTTCTAAAAAGCAACACATCTACATGACTCCTATTCCAGAACTTCTTTACACACCTAAATAATTATGGAACTTTTCAGCTGACCTCCTTACCCCAAATTATCCTAAAACAAAGACTCCAGTATTTTCCTTAAGTACATTTTAAAGAAAATCATTTAGTCTACTGTAATAAAAACACCTAAATGCAAGTATTTTTAAGAGCTTGCCCTCAATCCTCTTTGCTCTCTGTCCTATCTCACTCTTATTAATCACATTCACTCTTTAAACATGGTATCTAATTTCACGATTTGCAACCCAGCAAAGGAGATAAATCACATACAAATTAGAGAATAACATTTAAGTTTCATTATGGTGATGGTGATGATGACGACAGGGGTGGCAGTGGTGATGACAGCAACAGCTAACAAATATTGAGTGCTTTCTACAAGCCAGGTCCTGTTCTAAGCTCTTTCCACAAATTATCTTCTTGAATCCTCACAATAATCCCAGGAAGTATTTACTATTACTCATTTTAAAGATGAGAAAACTAAGGGACAAACAGTTAACCAACTGTGAAGGTCATACAGCAAGTGCCAGAGTCATAAATACCATTAAAAGAGATATGGAATGGAATAGAACACAGAATTGAAAACAAACCCTTACATTTATGGTCAGTTTGATATTTAACAAGAGTGCAAAGAAACAATTCATGGCGAAAAAACAGTCTTTTCAATAAATGGTGCTGGGACAACTGGACATCCATATGAAAAAGAAGGAAGTAGGACCCCTACCTCACAACATATATAAAAATTAACTTAAAATGATTCACAGACGTAAATGTAAGAGGTAAAAGTACAAAACTCCTAAAAGTGCACATCTTGATAAACCCTGGATTAAGCAATGGTTTCTTAGATATATCTGACACTAAAAGCACAAGCAATCAAAGGAAAAATAAACTGGACTCCATCAAAATTAAAAACTTTCGTGCTTAAAAGATACCATCAAGACAGTGAAAAGACAACCAAAAGAATGCGATAAAATATTTGCAAATCATATATCTGATAAGGAACTTGTATCCAGAACATATAAAGAACTCTTACAACTCAGCAATAAAAACAAATAACCTAATTTTAAAATGGCTAAGGGATTTGAATAGACATTTCTCCAAACAAGATACTAAAAATGGCAATAAACTTGTGAAAAGATGTTCAATACCATTAGCCAGTAGGATAATGAAAATCAAAACCACAGGAAGATACCACCTTACACCCACTAGGATGGTTATAATCCAAAAGATGGAAATAACAGGCAAGGCAAGAATGTGGAGAAACTGGAATCCTCATATATTGCCAGTGGAAGTAGAAAATAGAGTAGCCACTTTGGAAAACAGTTTGGCAGTTCCTGAAAAAGTTAAACATAGTTACCATATGACCCAGCAATTCTAGTCCTAGGTATATACCCAAAAGAATTAAAAACACATATTCACACAAAAACTTGTAGGTGAATGTTCATAGCAGGATTATCCTTTACAGACAAGATGTGGAAACATCCCAAATGTCCACCAACTGATGAAGGGATAAATAAAATATGGTGTATCCATACATTGTCATATTACCTGGCAATAAAAAGGAATGAAGTACATCAGTACTACAACATGGATAAACTATGAAAATATTATGCTAAGAGAAAGAAGCCAGACACCAAGGGCCATATATTGTATGATTCCACTTATATGAAACGTCTAGGATAGGCAAATCCATAGAGACATAAAGTAAGTTAGTGGTTGGTAGGGTCTCAAGAAGGGAGGGAATGGAGAGTGACTACTAATGGGCATGGGGTTTCCTTTTGGGGTGATGAAAATGTTCTGGAATTAGATAGTGGTGATGGTTGCACAACCTCTGAACTGTACACTTTAAAGGCGTAAATTTTATGGTATGTGAGTTATATCTCAATAAAGCTGTTATAAAAAAAGATATGGAAAAAATATAACAGTTGTTCAAAAAGAGGGTTTCTATTGTATTTTACTCTTTAACCACTTAGATCTCTGCAGAAACAAAGGAGAATCATAAAATGTGAGTAAATCTATATGATGAATTATGCATCCATTAAAATTATATTAAGAAGAATGCTTGACGACAGGAAAATAAATAGAAAGTTAAGTGTAAAAAGCGGAATACAGAACTGCATATTAGTGTATTCTCAATGATGTTAATATACATACTTTATTAATAAAGCACTTATCTGTGCTAAGCACTTCCCATTTAATCCCACAACCCTATGAGGCATATACTGTCTTGAGAGACAATATAGCACAGTGAATGAAAGTACAGTCTGAAACCAGACTGCCTGGGTTCACATCCCAGCTCCTTCACTAACTGTAAAATGTAACTAATTAAATATATAAGGTACTTGAGAATCCCTGCCTAGCACATACTAAGTTCTATTTAAGAGTTAATGATGATGTTAGCGACAACAACAATTAACCTTCTTTCCCAAATGAGAAAAATGGGGCTTAGAAAGATTAAGTATATTGCTCAAAGTCACACCAATAAGGGACAGAGCTAGCAGCTGACATTCAAAACCAGGTCTGACCAACTAATTGCAATGCACCTTCTAGAAAACCATGCCAGAATTGAGTTATCTCTGATTGGTTCTATATATTCCAAACTCTCTACAATGAACCCATGTTACTCTTAAAATAATTTATTTCAAGTTATATTATTTAAAATATTATAATTATTCAGAGGCTGAAATTCTACCAGCCTCAATTCTGAAGAATCAAACAAGAATCTGAAGTATGCAAAGGCTTATGAGAGGTCAAAAGGCTTACATACTTGTTTCTCTTGCTGGCAAGGCCCTCTATATAACAATATCAAAAATTTAGGAAAAGCAGCTTTTTTTTTTTTTTTTTTTTGGTGAGGAAGATTAGCCCTGAGCTAACATCTGTTGCCAATCCTCCTCTTTTTGCTGAGGAAGACCGGCCCTGGGCTAACATCCGTGCCTCTCTTCCTCTACTTTATATGCAGGACGCCTGCCACAGCACGGCTTGACAAGCCATGCATAGGTCTGCACCCGGGATCTGACCCTGTGAACCCTGGGCCGCCAAAGCGGAGCACATAAACTTAACCACTACGCCACCGGGCCAGCCACCACTATTTTTTTATCATAGTTATTTATACACTAATGGTGACTTCTGATGGTAAATACTATGTATCCAAACAGATGAGCTTTTCTTAAGCAAAGAGATATGGATATTAATATAAACAATTGATCAAACACCTGAGTATTATTTGTGTGAATGTGAAGTTATCAATTTTAACATCAGAAAATGTAACATACAAAGAAACCATATTCACGTAACAAACAGAAACAGTGGTGAAACGAAGGTATATGCTATGGTCTGAATGTGTTCCCCCAAAATTCATATGTTGAATCCTAACCCCCAAAGGTGATGGTATTAGGAGGTGGGGCATTTGGGAGGCAGAGCTCTCATGAATGGGATTAGTGCTCTTATAAAAGAGGCTCCAGAGAGATCCCTAGCCCCTCGCTAGCCCAGTCCACCACGTGAGGGCACAGCAAAAAGGTGCCGGCTGTGAACCAGGAAGAGGGCCCTCACCAGAACATATCACACTGGTCCCTTGATTCCAGACTTCTCAGCCTCCAGAACTGTGAGAAATAGACTTCTGTTGTTTATAAGCTACCTGTTCTGGTATTTTGTTACAGTAGCCTGAATGGACTAAGATACTATACAACTGTTGCCTTTGTTTTTTTTTTTCACTTCAATTTAGCCTAGCAAAGCTGGCTGTGGTTACTCTAAGATGGCCCCCAATGAGTCATGCCGTGGTATAATTCCTTCCCCTTGAGCTTGGGCAGGACTTGTGACTTGGTTTGGGATTTTTTTCCTTTTTCTTCCTGTGACTTTTATCCAATAAAATAAGGCAAATGTGAGATGGCATTCCTGTGATTACATTAGATTATACATATAGAGACAGAGATTGGTGGTTACCAGAGGGGATGGAGGGAGGGAGGAGGGCGAAAGGGATGATTAGGCACATGTGTGTGGTGATGGATTGTAATTAGTCTTTGGGTAGTGAACATGATGTAATCTATGCAGAAATAGAAGTATAATGATGCACACCTGAAATTTATACAATGTTATCAACCAATGTTACAGCAATAAAAAAATAATAATTAAATTAAAAAAAAAAGATTATACAAGTCTCTGTCTTAGAAGAGGGAGGAAGAGATTCTCTCCTGCTCGCCCTGAAGAAGCAAACTGCCATGCTGTGACTGCATATGAAAAGGGCCATGTGGCTGGAAAGTCAGAGAACTGTGGGCAGCCTCCAGCAGAAAGCCAGTAAGAAGCCGAGACCCCTCAGTCTTACTGCCACAGGGAAATGAATTCTGCCAACAACTTGAGTGAGGTGAGCCTGGAAGTAGATTTTTCCCAAGTTGAGGCTCCAAATGAAAACGCAGACCACCAACACCTTAATCACAACTTTGTGAGACCCTAAGCACAGTACCCGGTTAACCCATGTCCAAACTCCTGACCCATGGAAATTGTGAGATAATAAAAGTATTGTTTTAAGCCACCAAGTTTGTGGTAATTTGCTGTACGGCAAAGGAAACTAATATACTGGCCAACTCTAAGGTCCAGCCTGTGTATGGTAAGATTACAAAGGTGTAATTAAGCTGCTACCCCATCTCTGGACTTCCTCCACCAACAAACTTCATGAAGGAGAGGCATATTTCAGCACTTTTATTTACTAAGCCCCAGTTACACTCTAAACTTTTGTAACACGGGGACCAGCTTTGCACTAAAAAGTGTCCTCTTGAACATCAATAATGGTGACCACATTTTTCTTAATCAAGGATCAGACTCTGTGGTCTAACAAAGGGGTTTTGTGCCACTTTTAGGAACCAGATATCATAAGGGAGCTACAGTTTACATGCTGACACGTGAGACTGTAGAGATATTCTGATGGTTTATAATGCTAATGAGTCAAATAAAATGAGCACAGCCTAGAAAATGAGGCCTGTGTGGAGGAAATCTAAAATACTAATAGCTTCCTAATTGCTAAAATTATTGGTCCCTTCTTATTTCTCAGGCCCTTTCCAGCTCTACAGACTCCCACTCCTGGACACCCCCTCCCTTGGCTTCCATGACACTCTTTCTCCTGGTTTCTCTCCTATTCTTTTCCCCTCTTCTTTGCAGGCTCTGTTCACCCCCCCCCCTTACATACCACACAATCAAGGATCTTCACCCAGTTCTATCCCAGTCCTCTTGTCCTTCCATTGGACACCCCCTGTCTTCATCCAATAATTGTCTTTTGAGAGTCGACCACACATCAGGCACTGGACGGAGACTGGACAAGTCTAATATGGTGCCAGCTCTCCTGGAGCTTACCCTCCAGATCAATGAAAAGGAGTCCAGACCTTCCCTCAGTGATCTCACCCACTCTCTTGAGCAAAGCTATGAATGCAGTGGGCGCATAAACACACTGTGAAAATGAGTCCCAAATCAAGGATTCACACCTTTCCACAAAACACCAAATGCTCATTTCTAACTGCCTTCTATGCACATCTCCCAAATATCTCAAATACAGTACCGTCAAAACACAGCTTATCATCCACACCCACTCCCTACCAACCTCTAGTTCTTGATATATAATTGGCTTGCCCAGTAAATGTTTGCTGAATTAAGCTGAATTTACAGAATTACCACCCTTCTAGTTGCTCCAGTTTAAAACCTTAGGATCACCTCTCTTCCTTCTTGTCTCATGGCCAATCAGATACCAGAATCTATTCATTCTTTCCCTGAAATATGTCTCTCATTTGTCCCCTCTTCTTCGTCTCTACTACCAAGGTTTTTGTCCAGGCTCTTGTTATTTCTCCTAATTGAACTTCATTTGCTCATTCACTCATTCACTTCATCATCCATCTATTATTTCAACAAATATTTTGAAAGCACCTGCCAAAAGCCAGGCACCAGATACAGCAAGAAAGTAGAATAGTCGGCACCCTCACAGAGCCTAGAGTTTATCAGAGGACCACAGTAACTGCTATGAAAGGGTAACGTAGGAAGTAAATTCAGTGTCATGGAAATACCTAACATACTCTCCACAGTAAGAAAAGACCATCTCCTCCCTCTAATTCCCCCAAAAATATTTAAGCCGAGAGCTAAAGCACAAATAAAAAGTCAGAAGTGGGGGAAACAATGTTCCAGGTGGGGGAAAAGATATTTACAAAGGGTTTGAGAAGTTCAGTTTAACTAACAGAGATTTGAGAGGGTGAGAGGCTAGAAAGAGGATAAAAAGAAAGGCAGAGGCCAGAGCCTGGCCTTGTGAGCCACAGCAATTTGAACACTATCCTAAAGACCTACAGGAAGCCACTGAAGGAGACAGGATGAGATTAAGCAAATCCACTCTGGCTAGTGGAAAATTGATCAAAGGGTAACAAGACCTCTTTCCAAACACTGTCCCTTCAATCAATCCCACCCAGATATACGGACAGAGTATAACTCTCAACCTTTTACTTCCTTCCTCACAAGACTTGAACGGCTACCCCTGCAGAGAGGAATCCAACTCAGCGTGACACTCAGACCCTCTCCCTCCATGTGGCCCGCTGACCTTCCTTTCCAGGCTTTTCTCCTCTCACATCTCCCACTTATCCTAAAACAAAGCTCTCGCCTTCACACACTCTTCCAAACATTCTTTATGCTCCACTTGGAACACCCTTCAGTCTTTCGCTCCCTTCTCCACGGGGTTAACTCCCACCCACTCCTCAAAACTCATTCAAGTGGCCCTTGCTGATAAACCCTTTCCTGACCATCCAATAGACTTAAATGACTCTCCTGTCCCCAAGTACTCTGGGTAGTCTGTCTGTCTCCTGCTAGACCGTGAACTCCTTGAAGACCACAATAGGTACCCCCAATTTCTAGCTCTGTGCAGACGTGCACGACAGCGGCGCGCGCGCGCACACTCAGGATGCTCCTAGACGGAGTGCGCCAAACACAAACACACCCAGACACGCATCCTGACACGCACATACACTTGCAAATCACAGAGTAGCGGGTGCGCTGTCTGTAGTCAGGATCCTCTACCCAGGCGCCTGGATCCCAGCGAACAGAAAGGGAGAGCCACCCCGTTCTCCCCGCCCTGCAGCCCGGGTCCCTCAGGCTCGGTGGGGCTGCGGCCTGCAGGCCTCCGCCCGGTCATCGCAACCTGCCTTGCCGTGCCCCGACCGCTGCCTCCACCACGACTAAAAACTTCAGGATCCAGAAACGCCCGGCCCGCCACAGGTTGACGCAGCCCGCCGCTTCCGGGATGTTGCCTAGGTTACCGGAGCCCCGCCCCACTCCCTTGCGTATATCCGGCGAGGCCATTGCGCAGGCGCCTCCCAAAGTCTGGCACCGGGCAAGGGAATAGAAGGGTGTTTTGAGTTGTGCCTTCCACGTGTATGCTTTCTGCAGGGTTCCGGGCAAAGCTTTGGAGGGAAGGCGTGTAGCATTAGCCAGTTTGTAGTAAATTCTCTAAAAGAAAGATGTTGCTTTCCACACTAGGCTTCACATATCACAGTTACTTACTTTCACCTCTATTTATTTATTCAAAAATGTTTATTACTACCTACCAACGTGCCAGAGACTATGCTAGGTTCAATGGGGACTGCAAACAGGCAAGGTCCGTGTCCTCAGGAAGCTTAGTAGCAGACAGCTATCAATGACACAAATGTAAAATTGAAACTGTCGACTGCTAAGAAGTAGGCATACTAACTAGATACTAAGCTTATAGGAATATCTGAAATACTCAGAAAAGCTGAAAAGCAAGGATGAGTAAGCCACCAGGGAAGGGTAGAGCGTTCCTGCAGAGGGAGCCACATATGCGAAGGTGTGTGGCAAGTGCAAGGGACCAGAAGTCCAGTATGTCTGGAGTTCAGAGAACAGTGGGAGCTTGGTGTAAGGGAGGCCGCCCCAAGAGGCTGGAGCCAGGACAGGCAGAGTTGTGTAGGCCATGTTAAGGACTTTGCAAAGCATTTTATTTGAAAACAGCGTTAATTTGCTCCAATAAGACAACTTCCTTTAGTCCCTGGTTTTCTGTTGTTAAGAAACCCGTACATGGATCAGCAAATACATATTCAACACCTTCTAGATGCAAAGAACTGCCTGTTAATAGTTTTCACTCTGAGAAAGTTTGGTAGATATATTCAATGGTCCACCAATAAAATCATCTCCTGCATACATCCTGAACTCCTTGCCCCTCTCTGAGTTGATGTAACACTTGGTAAAACCACAATTCTGGCAATCCCAACACAGTACTTACTAAGTGCCTGTACCCTTGCAACTGAAAGGAGAAAAACACCCAACCATGCTGACTTTAAATTCTTTATCACTAATTTTAAGTAGGCCCCTAAAGATGTCTGAGGACCCCATATTACAGTTCTGTGCTCCATTGATTCTCCTACCCTCCTAGATGACAGCTTTATACCTTCTCTCATGCCCATCTTTCCTCTATCCTCAGTCTCAGCCAGTGACCTTGCTTCCTATTTCACTGCCAACATTGAAGCAATCTGAAGAGAACTTCCATAAGTTCCCATCACTAATTCAATCCTCCTATCAGCATCTTTACCCACAAAACTTCCTTCCAGAAGCTCAACAAAACCCAAACACAAGAAACATGAAGAACATTACATCAAGGTACATGATAATCAAATTGCTCAGAACCAGTGAAAAAAATCTTAAAAGCAGCCAGAGAGAAAAGACATTAAAAAGAAACAATATTTCTCACTAGAAACATTGCAAGCAAGAAGACAGCAGAACATCTTAAATGGATTGAAAAAACAAAAAACTGTGTACATTGCTTAAACTATGCTTGATGTGTGATAATATTACTTGAAAGTAGACTTTTATAAGTTAAAGTTGTATGCTATAAACTCGAACACACCACTAAAATAATAAGAGTTATAGCTAAAATAAATGATATCTATAAAAAGAGATATTCCAAAAGAGATAATAAAAAATACTTGATTAACCTGATTAATCTAAAAGTAGGCCAAAAAAGTGCAAAAAACTAAACAAAGAACAGATGAGAGAAATAGAAAGCAAATAGCAAGGCGATAGATTCATATCAATTATTACATTAAATGTAAATGATCTAAATACCCCAATTAAAAGGCAGAAATTGTCAGATTGGATTTTTTAAATTGTTGCCTATAAAAAGAAACACACATTAAATATAAAAACACAAGTAATTTTAAAGTACAAGGATGGAAAAAAGGTATATCTTGCTAACACTAGTCAAAAGAAAGCTTGAGTGGCTTTATCAATATTATATGAAATAGACTTCAGAGCAAAGACTATTACCAGGGATAAAGAAGATCATTTCATGATGGTAAAGGGGCCATTAAATCAATAGTATATAACAATCCTAAAATATTTATGCACCAGTAAGAGAGCTTGAAAATAAATGAAGCAAAAACTGATAGAACTGCAAAGTGAAATAAAAAGTCTACAATTTTAGTCAGAAATTGCAATGCCCATCCCTGAATAATTTATAATACAAGTAGACAGAAAATTAGCACGTTTATAATAGACTTGAACAACACTATCAACCATCTTGACCTAATTGACATTTACAGAATACTTCTCTAACAACCAGCAGAATACACATTCTTCTCATATATACAGAACTTTTAGCAAGATGGACAATAATCTGGACCATAAAACAAGTTTCAACAAATTCGAAAGGATTCAAGTCATTGTAGGTATGTTCTCTGACCACAGTGTAATTAAATTAGAAATCAAAACCATAATGATTCTTGGCAAATCTGTCAAAGTTTGGGGAAAAAAATACACCTCTAAATAAGCTATTAATCAAACAAGAAATCAAAACAGAAAATAAAATATATTTTGAATGGAAAAAATGAAAATATAGCATATCAAAACTTGTGGAGGGCCGGCCCCGTGGCTTAGCGGTTAAGTGCACACGCTCCGCTACTGGCGGCCCAGGTTCGGATCCCGGGCGTGCACCGAAGCACTGCTTCTCTGGCCACGCTGAGGCCGCGTCCCACATACAGCAACTAGAAAGATGTGCAGCTATGACCTACAACTATCTACTGGGGCTTTGGGGGAAAAATTAAAAAAAAAAAAAAAAAAAAAACTTGTGGGATGTAATGGAGACAGTAATTCAAGAGAAATAGATATATATAAATTTATAGCACTAAACACCTATATTGGAAAAGAAGGTCCCAAATCAATGACCTCAGCTTCTACCTTTAGAAATTAGATAGAGAAGAGCAAGTTAAACCCAAATTAAGAAGAAGAAAGGAAATAAGAAAGATTAAAGCTGAATCAATAAAATAGAAAAGCAAAAAACAATAGAGAAAACCAGTGAAACTAACAGCTGAATTTTTTAGAAGATTAATTAAATTGATAAACCTCTAAACAAATTGATCAGGGAAAAATTACATATAAATTACCAATATCAGAAATGGCAGAGGTAACAGATTCTACAGATACTAAAAGAATAAAATAATATTTTGAACAACTTTAAGGCAATAAATTTAACAACAGATAAAATGGACAAATTCCTTGAAAGACATAAATTACCAAAGCTTTCTCAAGAAAAAAGTAGATAACCTGAATAGCCTTATAGCTATTAAAGAAATTAAAATTGCAGGAAGAAAACCTTCCCACAAAGAAAACTACAGGCCCAGATGGCTTCACCAGTGAATTCTACCAAACATTTGGGAAGAAATATTACCAATTCTACGCAAATTCTTCAACACAAACTCAAAAACATTGAAGAGGAGGGAATACTTCCCAACTCACTCAATGAGACCGGCATTATCCAGATACCTTAAGCAGTGAGAAGCATTACAAGAAAAGAAAACTACAGACCAATATCCCTCATGAATATAGATGCAAAAATTCTTAACAAAATTTTAACAAAACTCATCTAACAAAACAATTATGCTGAGTGCCAAAAAAAAAACAAAAAAAATACATACCATATAAGTCCATTTATATAAGACTCTAGAAAATGAAACCTAATGTATTGGCAGAAAACAGACTAGTGGTTTCTTGGGAATGAAAAGGAAGCTTTCTCTGGGTGGTCTAAATATGAGCCGGATATGCTCCCCAAACCATAAGATGTCCCACTTCTACTTAGCCTACTTCTCGCTTCCCCATTTCAGCTTCTAATTAGAGTATTTCTGAAGTCTTCTATTTCACTATAAATCTTTTCCACTACCCTCCTGTCTTTGAGTCTCTGCCAAATCCAAGTGATGGTGGCTGAAATCCTTCCTATATCAAGCTCTGAATAAATAGTCTCTATTTATTCTCACATCAGTAGTCTTTGTTTCCACAACTGCATATATTTTTTATGACGTTGATTTTTGTGTGTGTGTGCGAGGAAGATCAGCCCTGAGCTAATGTCTGTGCCCATCTTCCTCTATTTTGTATATGGGGTGCTGCCACAGCATGGCTTGATGAGTGGTGCATAGGTCCGCCTCTGGGATTTGAACCTGTGAACCCCAGGCCACTGAAGAGGAGCACAAGAACTTAACCACTACGCCACTGGGCTGGCCCCAACATTGATTTCTTTTCTAATATTGGAAAGATTCATCTTGAGTACTACTATGAAAAGAATCATACTTTTTGTATTTTATAATTTTTAAAATGTAAAAATACTTAAACTAGGGTATAAATCATATGGATCTCTGGTCAGTCATGAGGGGCAAAAAATAGAGAAGGTAACAGTCATGACCATTCTGGGCTGATTGTTGCACAAGTTATGGTTTGGCTTCTGGGACTGATTGCTGCAGAGGTTGTGGATCAAGTTCTATTATCATATATGGTCTGGACATTGTCTGTTTGAATATTCAGCCTCTCAGTCCCTTCTTTTGGTCATTCTTTTGCTTGCAAGAGTTTGAGCAATTCAGAGAAATCTAGAGATCTGTATTTTCACCACTTGAGATAATCCAGTTGTCTCCATAGTCAATTGTATTGTGTGATCTCTTTGACCTTTTTATTGTTGGATCATCGTGGCAATCATCTGACAAGAGAGCAGTATTTAAAACTCTAGATAGAATGCAATAGACCAACATCATGGCACTATAACAAAAACAATAACAAGTAATAGTACCTGTAAGATGCTTCATAACCAGGAACCCCAAATGCCCAACCCAGGCCAAGAAAACAAATGTCATAGGTCATGAGGATCAACCTTAGAGAGTCAAGTAGCTTTTTCTTTAAGAGAATGAATAGCTTAGTCTACCTTGCCTGTTTTATTAATCCAAGGAATAGTAGCAATGGCACAGACACCA